AAAAAAAGCCTAATTTCTACTACCCTTTTGAAACCGTGCCGGGATCAGTCCGAGCACGCTAACCCAGATAATTGTTGAGTGTAAATGATACGCAGAACTGAACCGGAATGCGCCACACACAACCCAACGGCGCTAACTGGTACTAGTTCATCAGCAGGGCTCGGCACGGTTTAGTTCTGGCTCGGTTCTCAGATAACAAAGAGCGCATGAGCAGACTGCGTCATCTCCTTACTGTAAGCAGGAAATTTCAGACATTCATAGAAATCCTAGCTTTCTACACAATTTCCTCAACGTCTGTCGTTGTTTCCTGCGTCTGGAAGCCCTGATTAGATTATCGTTTGTCGTATTCATTTCTCAAAAGCCGAATCTATCAAGTAAATTCACCAAAGGCTGCCTTCTTCGCCTGAGTCTCCGTAAACTTCCTGAATGTTACAGGTGCCGCCATGTTGGTTTGCTTGTTTACCTCTAGAGTAGTAGTACCTAGATCACCACTAGGAGGCAAGGAACTGTGCTAGCATGGTGTGTAAACGCTCATAAGAAACCGAGCTCGGCACGGACCTGTTTTCAGAGGGTAGTGGAACTGGGGCTAAAGAGTCTTTGAGCAGACCGTGTCATCTCCTATTTACAGTCAGCTGTCTCATTTTGGGTTTTTTTCTGCCGGCTTTGCAATTCACAGATCTCGTCACCTGTTCACAACACAAACTTCTTAGCCTACTTACAATAAATGGAATTAAAAGAGCACGGTGCGATGATGCAGAGAACGAGTCTCTCATTGAAATTTGGGCATAGGATGCTATCCAGGCACAACAGTTCCTGAATGCTATGGGAGACGCCACTTTTTGTTTGCATAATTCCCGGCTTGAGGGCTGTGGTTTCAGGGACAGGGGATACGAGGTGAGGAATCATGCTAACGGGATTTGTAAATGGTCATAAGAACCAAACTCTGCACAGTTAACTTATCCAACTTTTACTTGCTGTTTTCTGCTAGCAGACTGAGAGCAACAAGTGGGGGAGGGGTAGTGTCTGGTTGAAGATCAAACATAATCATAGACATGTACATGAGTCACGAATGACCTAAATAGTTATGTTTTTATAGCTCTCCAGCCCCTTAAATTAGAACAGTCATATCCTTTGTTACTCATTTAATGCGTCTAGGGTGATTTTTAAATAGCAGGCCAAGATCTGTAGTTAAAAGCGAAAGCGAAGTCTTACTCATGCCTTTAAAGGTTCATCTTTTATGCGCCAGGTGTGAGGCAAGGAAGAGCCGAGCTGCTTTGCCCAGAAACAATGGGGCTGCAGGGTTTGCATGTCTGTATCAGCAGCAGGATGTGGTGTGGTCACGATAACCTCCTCCAGCCTGGCAGTTAAACAGCGATAGGTTGGCGTTCTGGTGACGCAGCTGCAGCGCACCGCTGCCATTGGACGCCGGTGGGAAAGAAGCAGGGATGGTTTCCCATAAAGGCTCGCGTGACTCTAAGAGATATGAACTCACATCCTTTCCGGTCCCCTAATCGTATCATAATATTCTACAGGCGACACACAGCAGCCGCTGTTCAGTCAAAGAGCCCATTTAGAAGAGCGTGACAGTGGCTTTGTGTGGTGGAGTTGTCTGTAGCTACAGGTTATCCATCACTCGCTGTCTCCACTGATGATCTCTGTGCTCTAACAGAAGAGGCAGCCTTTGTGCTGATCATATACTTCAAAATGAGATGCTTGCAGTTTACATGTATAAATAGATCAGTGTCTGCATGTTGGGCAGTCCCCAGAAAACAATGATGAAGCCTACGTAGTTTTTTTCCCCATGGGGTATTCCCCTGTTTAGGAATTGCATGTAAAATCCTTTTTTTGGGTTCATTCACACTTGTTTTCACAGCTGGTCGTCCTCAGAGTGTGATGTTAAATGGCAGCCTTTCCCCTCCGACACTTCCCAAGCTCAGGCTGTAACCTGTGTTCTGATTGGCTCTACGGAAGGAAAAACAGCTCAGTCTGCCAGTTCTGTGTGTCCGTTTGTCTCAGAGTGCCACCGTTTCTCAGGCCTGTGGGTGCGCTGGTAGGAACCCACTGCTGAACTGTGTTTCCACGCTTCCTGTCCACGCTGGGCCTTTTTCCTGTTCAGCATATGATGTCACTCAGACCCCGAAAGAGATATCATTTTGGACGTTTTCTCCCAGTCTCCCTTCCTTCGTTCACCAAAGGAACCTTCGCTCATGCTATGAGGTAAAGGTCGCCCTAAATGAGGAGACTGACTGCCAAACTGCGATATCTTAGTGAACTATGCTTTACTCACTGTTCTCAGCTGGATTACTCATCCCTGAGCTGCCCACAGTGTGACAAAAAGAGGATACCAGTGAAATGGGCTGTTCACTAGTATGACATCAAAATATTCACATTTTTGCCAGCTCATGTCTCCTCTGCAGACAGAATAAAAGCAGTTGAGCATTGAACGTTCTCTGGTTTCAACTTGTGCTGCAGTATTCAGATCCTGCTACATTCCTTCGATTTCAGACCTTCAATTGAGCTTTTTCTCATTGCAACAGATGCAAATATTAATTTTTTTATATTTCTGTCTGAATCTGTCTATCTGGCTGTGACTCCACCCTGGAGACAAATATCAGCTGTGCTGCTGCCATCAGCACCATGTTTATAGATGTTGGAGATCGGCTTGTTTTTCAGTGTGGTCCCCACTGCAAAAATAAAAAAAATCTCAATAAGTTATTTTTTTCTTAAAATAAGTGAATTTATTTCTTGAATTAAGCAGGTAATTGAAACACTTTGCCAATAGAACAAGACAATTAAGATTTAAAATAAGTAAAACAATTGCATTGTCCTATTTCTGTGGAGTTTTTTTGACAGCATATTGGTAAATGGCATGTACTTATATAGCGCCTTTATTCAAGTTAGGAGACCTGACCAAAGCGCTTTACACTACATTCTGGTTCTGCTGGAGGTTTCTTCCTGTTAAAAGGGAGTTTTTCCTCTCCACTGTCGCTACAAGCATGCTTAGTGTGGGGGATTGTATTTGAGTCGATGCAATCAACTGGTTTTCCTTAGATAGAAAACTTTGTATCAATTTGACTGTATGATCTGGTTGAACTGTAAAGTGCCTTGAGATGACATGTGTTGTGAATTTGGCGCTATATAAATAAACTGAATTGAATTGAATTCATTCACCCATTCACGCACACACTCACACACTGATGGCGGCAAGCTACATTGTAGCCACAGCTGCCCTGGGGCTCACTGACAGAAGCGAGGCTGCCGTACACTGGCGCCACCGGGCCCTCTGACCACCATCAGTAGACAATGCAGGTGAAGTGTCTTGCCCAAGGACACAACAACAATGAAAGTCGGAGTCGGGGCTTGAACCGTCAACCCTTCAATTACAGGGCAAACTCCTACATCCAACGCCACTGTCGCCCTATATTGACAGGAAAGGGTGTATGAAAGAGGGGAAGAGACACGCGGCAAAGGACCAGAGGTCGGATTCGAACCCGGGTCGAGTACTAACGCACTAACCACTGTCTTATTTCGAGTGATAATTTCTAGTTATCTTTTCTTTTCAGAGAAAAATACTAATTCCATTGGCAAGCCCTGTTATTTACCTGCTCATATTAAGGGTAAATGCACTGAATCCTGGATGGGAAGTGAAATGTCTTCAAACTTGGAAACAAAGTCCAGTAAATTTTTTTTTTTCTTTTTTGGAATGACTATGACCTGGATGACTGAGAATCTTCACCAGCTAACTCCTAAAGACCAACCTCTTCAAAGAGCATCTCCTAACTCTAACCCATAGCTGTATTGTATGTATTGGGCAGGTGGTGGTCTAGTGGACAGGGCATTGCGCTTGGAATCCAGAGGTTCTGAGTTCGAGCCCCACAGTTTTCCACTTAGGGTCCTTGAGCCACACTGCAAAAAAAAACCTATAAGAACCCAGGCAAGCAGACAGGTAGCGTTCGTATCACAGCTGGAGGGGGAGTGTGGGTCCTTAGGCAAGACCCTTCATGCTAATGCCTGCTTTGGAGAGTGGCAGTCTAGTGGTTAGACCTTATAGTCCTGAGATTCTGAGTTAGATTCTGAGACCCTTAACCCCACTCTGCATCCCTAAGGGAATGGGTTAAACGCAGAGAGTTCATTTTGTTGCTCTGTACTTGTGACAGTGTAATGACAATAAAACGCTAAAAAAAAAAAGATCTGCACCCCTCTACTACTCTTCCTGCACTTCCCTCTATCTCCTCGCTGTCACCACTGATTCTGACTAGAGAACTTATTGTTATATTGATGATAACTGTAAAATTGTGTCAAATAAATTCATTACTGTTCCCTCCATTTGCTACTGATCTTTGAGGTTTGGTTTCATTTGTTGATCATATATTTTTCTATCATGTAAGAAAATTAAAAAAAGCAATATTTAGCTCAGAGAATAAGCCTCAAGACTTTTCTGGTCTTGTAGAAACAATACTCCATGCTGCTACACCTGCAACTCAACCTTTCTACCTGTTAACCAGTGGTGGCTCAAACTGGGTGGTCACCAATCGGAGCTAATTAAACAGAAATTTGTCTGGTGTTGGTGGGCACTTTCTTGGCCTATCTATCTATCTATCTATCTATCTATCTATCTATCTATCTATCTATCTATCTATCTATCTATCTATCTATCTATCTATCTATCTATCTATCTATCTATCTATCTATCTATCTATCTATCTATCTATCTATCTATCTATCTATCTATCTATCTATCTATCTATCTATCTATCTATCTATCTATCTATCTATCTATCTATCTACCTTCCTTCCTTCCTTTTAAATCACAAATTGAGCTTGGTGGTAGCCTTAGTCACCATTATTGTTTTTCTCCATGTTCCAGTTTAACTGTCTTTTAAAGAGCCCAATAAAATCACCCTCCACAGAAACCTGAAGGAAATCATTTAACCTTTTTTTTTCTGTTCCCAGTCTTCCTACGTTTCCTCCTAACCCTGCTGTCCATCTGTTTCCTCCAGGTGTTCTACGTGTCTGACCTGTTCAAGCCCAGGGAGACGTTGGCCACGCCCCCTCCCTCCCCGATCAAGAAGGAGCTGCTGCCTTCGTCCGACATTATTGACAGGAACAACCACCACAACATGGTGTAAGGGAGACCGCACCCCCTTCGCCTGCCGGGGAGCCAATCACTGCGCTGCTCAACAACCCCCCACCCCCACCCCCAAAACGCCCCAATCGGACGATCGAATGTAGCGACAAGACACTGTAGCTGCTTCATTAATGGCATCCTCCCTTCCTCCCAGCGCCCAGCGAGGCGCTCCTTGTAGACTAGGGTGTCAGGTTTGAGATTTGCACAGCAGAGTCCACATTCACTACCCAGACTTATTATTTTCCTAATCATGATAACTACTAATCAGCATTTGAGCCCCTCTGTTTGTCAGTCTGAGCACAAACGGAGACGAATCTGAGAGATGATGAGCTGGCGAGCCAAAACTGGAGTTATAGAGGTGTGACTGAAATATAACCTCATGAAGGACGAAGCACAAAAAAAAAGTTGATTTATAACACACACCCCCACCCTCCCTCCCCCTCCTGAGAGGCAGAGAGGTTTATTCCTCTCCCAAATCCCTGTGGCCTTGGATAACCATTGGACAACAACTTCCTCATCTAAGGGAAGGATCCTACTGCAACAGTTAGCAGCAGAAAAACATAGAAATCTGGAAGTTAAAGCACTGTTTTAACGTCATTTTCCGTTCACACCACTTGCTGCCTGAGATGTTTAGCTAAGGAAAATTGACATCTTTGAACACTGAGACAAAAAACAGTTCCACCTTAAGTGACGCCTTTTTGAAACACGTCTGTAAAGATCAGTGTTTCGGAAAGTGCCTTAAATGTGTCGCCTCAGGATCGGCGTGTCGAGCTTTTCCGCAGTTGACTCTCGGCGCAGTTTTTTTTCCGAAGTAGACGCAGAAACGGGGAAGGTGGCGGGGCGATGTCTGTGGAAGAGGCGTGGCTGTGCCATGCCTCCGTCAGGGGTCGGGGGGCCACCTGTTTGGATTCCTGAGAGGTGGGCGGAGGGGAAGGGGTGTGGCCTGTCACCACAGACAGAGGGTAATGAGTAGGGGTGTAAATAATAATCGTTTTGTATCGATGCATCGATCCAAAAGCCGACGATCCGATGCATCGACACGTCCGCAAGAGAATCGATTCATGTTTTTTTTTTCCTCCGGTCTATTTTTATCCATTTGCTCCTGGGTGTAATTCCCCCTCCCGTGCTGCGGTGGCGCTAAACCTATTATGCCCTCCTACCGCTCTTCCTGGTTATACTCTTACAGCAGTTTGTTGCAGCAAGCTTGACACAGACATTTTTAAATTATGCTCAGTATTGAAGCGTGGTCTGGGCTACACGCTGTGGGTCTAGATACGGCCGAGGCGATGAGGAAGTGGGGGCGAGTTTAGTCCGACGACGGAGGGAAAATGGGGCAAAAAGAGCGGAGATTCAGCTGGAAAAAGGGTCCCAGCGGTCTCGCGCACCTCGCTCTTCTAGCGGGTCGAACTTCACGAGTTGTTTTCCGCAATTTCGGTCATAAAAACAAAACAAGCCGGCCTCCTTTCTGCGGCACTGTTTGCAATCAGCTACAATCTGGGAGAGGAGCAGCGTCTCTCAAGGGGGCGGTGACGTCGACACTGGAGCCTTCTTCTTCTTCTTTTATTTAATGGCGGTTGGCAAACAACTTATAGGTGCATTACCGCCACCTTCCAGAATGGAGTATGGACCAGACAAATTATTATATTCTCCCTAAAATACCCGTTCTTCTTAGAAAATTAAAAAATACTACCAAAAACTACATCCCCAGATTACCTTTGAAACAATTTCCTTATATCTAGTTTATTTTTATTCCTGTCTAACTCTCTACACAACATTTCTCTTTCCTGAGTATATTTATTACATTCTAAAAAAATATGTTGGACAGTTTCTCTGGAGCCGAGGTATTGCATTGAACTCATTACACAGATATTGTGCAGTATTTTTGCAGTATTTTTTGATGCAACTTTTCTTCTGTTATTTGCTGTTGTTTCTAAAGAAAATGCATAATGATATTACAGCTTTCATTGATTTATTTCAAACTTGAAACTTTGTTTAGCCTGTAAGGTGTAAAAAAAAAAAATAATAATAATAAAAAAAATAACCGACTAATCGAATCGAATCGAATCGAATCGAATCGTGGTGTATTCTTGAGTATCGAAAATAATCGAATCGTTGGTTCAGGAAATCGATACTGAATCGAATCGCCATGATGGATGTGATTTACACCCCTAGTAATGAGCCACGATTAGCAGTTTAGGGATGATTTGAGCTCTTTCTGCTGGCAGGGAGGAGCTTTCGCCCAGTCTGTGATTGGCAGTGGATGCTCATCTCTCCGTGTTTGTGTTTCCTGTTCTTCTTTGTTGTATCATGTTTGTGTAGCAGCGCTGTGCCCTGTGAAAAGGAACTCCCTCTTCGTTAAACTGTACTGTGTGTGACAGTTGTAACCACACACACGCATGCCGTCAGCTGTGCAAAGTGTGTGTTTCACGTGTGCCACTATGTGTCGCGAGATGAATGTTCTGAAAACTGTGGATCTAATAATTTAACTCTGTGCTGAGGAACATCGTCCAGCCTGCATGTTAAGAGGCAGTCCTGTGTAATCACTAACAGGCGCAGGTCTTTTCTTTTTTCTTTTTTTTTTTACAGCCCACCCAGATTCCCTCATCCAACAACACACCACTATGTTGCACATCTCTTTATTTCTTTTATAGTCCGTCCTTTCATTTCACCAAGCCGTTCTCACTTTCTCTCTTTTTTTATAAATATATAAATAATGTATAGGTCACTAAAATAAACTCTGTAAAATATTGTATAACATGTTTTAGGTATATCCACTATAATTACAGACCTGTGTTCTTTACAAAATGCTGCTTTAAAAGCATCGATTGACAGATTATTATTTTTTCGTATTTAGATAAACTATTGTAGATTGTAATAGTTACATTTGTAATATGCATTAAAAACACACTCTCAATTGTATTGAAACTCAATATTAGTATTTTTGTATTGTCTCATTTTTTGTAAAAAAAAAAAAAAAGAGTAGTTATGCTGTTTTGTTTTGCTAGATGTATTTAGCTCCAAGATATGTGCTTTTAAATAAAAAAGCTCATTATGAAAATTCTTTTTTGGTTTCATGTGGTGAAGGTGGTTTCCTTTTCTTCACACTTTCTTTTTTAACACAGCAGCAATAAAATTATCTGAGTGTCATGCAAAAATATTTAGTGTCTAAAACTGCATTAATCTACAAACCTGCATCATTATTTACTTTTAAATGTATTTTTGGAAGACGTGGGACTCTTTAGGGAGAGATAAAGGTGAACAAAAGAAGAGTTAAACAAGGATTTTGACTTTTTTTTTTATCTTGCTAGAACTAAAACAAATAGAATGACCATAGATGAAAACTGCATCTATTGTCCTCAAACCACAATGATTATACAATGGCAGCCTTTTATTAGCACTCAGATTTATTAGGCCACAGGGGGTAATTTACCATTAGGCAATACTAGGCAGGTGCCTAGGGCCCCAAATTCCTGGGGGCTCCATAAAACCCTTTTCATGTATGGTTGATACAACTTTTCCTTATTTGTGCACATTAATTATGTTTTGGATAAAAATGTTTTTGCTAAAATGCCATCAGAAGGCTTTTAATATTAAGTGTCTCAGCCCCCCCCTTCAGTGTCCACCATATTGGATCAGTCCATTTGCTGCACATGTTCAGAAAGGTCCAAACAGACAGCAGCAAACCATTTGAAAACAAACCATGCAAAGAGCAGTGCACCAGCAATTTGATTTCTAAAAAGCTCCTAGCGCCAAATCTAGAGACTTTTTTCTGCTACTGGAGACTTTGGAGACAACATCTAAAAGCAGCGAACTCTGCTCTCCAGAGCGAGTAGATTGGTAACCCCGCCTCCTGCTCTCCTCTATCTTGTCTGCTGTCATGATTCATGCAGCTATTATTTCATCCAAATGAAAAATGGAGAACAGATAAGCAGATCATGGCTTGTCTACAGTGAAAAGAAGGACTGGGTTATTTACTTTGGCCTTTTTGGAAACACAGGAAGGAGCAATCAGCTAAGTGAGCTTAGTGCTTGGAAAAAATCTTTCATTCCTTTAGAGACAGCATGAAAAGTCAGCTGAGTACAAAACATAGAGAGGAAAACAAGAAGAAAAGGGATAAAAGGCAGAACAGATATTGGATGTCTATTCTATTAACATTTCTCTATCTGTAGAATGGGTCTGTTTGATGTCTTCTCAGTTCAGAGCGCCCCCTACCTGTCTCTACCTAGGGCCACAAATTTCCTAAATCTGCCCCTGTTTGCCCAATAACTAGGGTGAATGGTTTGAGCAGAGTTATCTTTACTAGAAATTAGTGGAGAATGTTCTAGAAGCTCCAATAAGAGGCTGTGAACTGGGAGCTACAATCTGTTTCTTTCTGAGTTTGAAATGTGATGTTGGAGACACTTCATCTGCAGGTTGTGAAGTGTTTGTGTCGTACAACATGCAGGAGATGCAATAATGAATAATTTTATTATTAATAATACCCATGATAGATTTCAGTCTAAAATTCATTCAGACCAGTTTATTTCAAAATAAGACCCTCTAAATAAATAATAAAATGATGCAAAAAGAAAAGAAAATTTAAAACCAACATATCATTTTTATTTAGATTATTTTTTTATAAACAAATAGCATGTTGAAAATTATGTAGGCGTTTCTCAGAAATCAGCAATGAAAACCTTATAATTCCAGAGCAGCATCTCTCCATTTGTGTTTTAAGGGGTTAATCTTGGGTTATGAGCTCCAATCTGCAAGATTAGCAGGCCTCTTTGCCAGAACCTTAATCTTTATCTTTGTCTACAGATCAGAATGAAACCAGGACTCTGTCTGGATCCCTGAGTTGAAGGATTTCTTTAGACCAAAGGATAAGAAACTTTCTTATCCTTTGGTCTAAAGGTTAGCTGTTCCTGTTTGACCAGATTATTCAGTTTAAATAAAAACTAATATAAATGCTTATTTTGTAAAAAAAATAAAAAAAAACAATAGTTTTAAAGATTGCTTTGAAAAAAAAAAAACATGTAGGAAACCTAAAGGAAAACCAAAAAATCGGCCTTTCAGAAGAATATCCAGCAAGTCCTTCAAATGCATAAAGGCCACAAGTAATGCAAACGAGTACAAAAGCATTTTCTTAAAGAAAGGAACTAATAACTATCGCTGAAACTCCGCTGGAGTGGCTGGTCTTTAGCTGCAGCTGATCTGAGGTCAGCTGTTGAGAAAACACAACCTAGCAGAGATTTACGGTGCCGGCGAACAGCTGGTAGGTCTGGGGTCAGCCATGCGTGGCTGTAATAGTAGACGGCCTGCTGCTGAGGCAGAGAGGCCCATGTTGTGGTCTTGTTTGGCTGCAAGAGAGCAGAGTGAAGCTGGCAGAGGGCCGCAACAGAGAGCCAAGGTATTACGCACTGCTGCGCCCCTCTTCTGGAGCTCTGGGTGTGTGTCTATAGGCATGACATGCTGTTCGATCCACTCCCTCCTTTCTTATTACTCATCCTTTCCTGCCTTCTCCATGTTAGGGTTCTGACTTTTATAAAAGGTCAAACTAGACCTCCTGTTTTTGGGTGAAAACATTCATAATAGAGACGAAAACGTCTTCTTGGCTTGTTTCATGTTTTCCATCTTTATTTGTGAACTGAAAAAAAATCCCACAACCCAAAGGTAGAA